TTATTTATATGTGTTTGGTAGAATTTTTTTTAAAATATGTCAGAAAACGTCTCATGCTTGTTATTCTCTCTTCTGAAGATGTTAAGATTCGTTCGTCTATATTCCTTACTTATGACGGACTCTCCTAAGCGCCGGGGATACTACACCTATAAAAAAACATAGGATTTCTGAATCTTCTGACCTTCCTACTGCTGGTGCTGCTGCTGCTGGTGCTGGTGCTGGTGCTGCTGCTGGTGCTGCTGCTGCTGCTACTACTACTGCTGCTGGTGCTGCTACTGTTGCTGCTGCTGCTGGTGGTGGTGCTGCTGCTGCTACTACTGCTACTACTGCTGCTGCTGCTGCTGCTGTTGCTATTACTGCTGCTACAGCTGCTGCTGGTACTGCTGCTGCTGCTCTGTGAGTAACCCGACGTGTGTTTTGTATATTGTCCCAAATGATTGTTGCTTAAGTCCCTGAAGACAGCTCTAGGGGTCTCCAGTGTGATGTATGCTTCCGATGTGAGTCTCCGGTGAGATGTTTATTGGTTTGTACACTTCCAATCCCTTTCTATGGTCTGAAAGCCAGACTTGTTGTCTCTATCCCACTGAAGTTGAACTCCAATAGCCACTTTTTTTTGTCCACACTTACAATTTGTTTAACTCTCCCTGGCTTTAGCCTTATTGTACACAAGGTCCTGATTGGCCTTTCTTTTCTTAGGTGTCCCGAAGGAAATGACTAAGTTCGTCACCCATGCTTATGCCTCTGCTGATGTGTGTGTATGTTTTGTCTTGAGATACGTCAAAATAAAGCTAAACGTTGAGTGAAAGAGAGAAAGAGAAAGAGAGAGAGAGAGAGAGAGAGAGAGAGAGAGAGAGAGAGAGAGAGAGAGAGAGAGAGAGAGAGAGAGAGAGTATCACCCTTTCCACGGGACAAGTACATGAATACTTAACTCACTCATTTCCTCCCCGTACAGTGCCTGCATACACACGACATTTTTAATTTTGGCTCAAACAACATACGGTACATGACCCATAAAACGTGTGAGAAAGCAATGGTCTCAGCACCTGGCAACGGTCATGGTCCTGGACCCCCACCGCAGACCACACCAGCAAGAGTGGACACACTAGAACAAAGATGCTGACTTTCTCAGCACACACGTCGTGAGAATGTACTTAAATGTGTACAACCACACTACCACAACACTAGTGGTAATATTACCACAACAGCAGTGGTAATATTACCTGTCCACTTGTGTAATATTACTACATCACCAGTTGTCAGCTAATTAAAGTATGAACATTCACAAAGTGTCGGTCCTTTTTGGACTCCTCCTCCTCCTCCTGTTGTTCCTGTCTCCTCCTTCTATGTTAAGTCTTCCCTGTCTCTTGCAATCCCAGGAGATAAGCCAGGCTGCGAGAGTATGTATTAGGAAAACGGAGGAGCGAACCTATACTATTCCTTGCGCTGGCTGACGTAAATACAACAGTCTTTCATATTTACGTCAGGTGGTTGGTCAGCCTGACAGCAACAGGTGTCAAATATCAGGTGTCAGGTATCATGACTCGTTGCTCACAGCTTCAGGAAAAATATGAGATCCTTTTGTTTTTTCATTATTCTCCCTGCCCGGGTCTTTTCCAGATGGTGACCCGGCCTTGGCTCCCTGTATTGGGAGTGTCTGAGACCTATGTCTGCCATGGGAAGAGGTACAAGTACCTTCTCATCTTCTGGGACCAACTGTCCCCAGGCCTAGCCCCATTCTCCGCCCTCACGGGGCTCGGAGGGAGAAGCTAGGCCTCTGGTCTGCCATCTTCCCCGCCCCATGTGGGGGGGGGCTAGTGGGAATGGCAGTCATGTGAGCTGCAGGTGGTAGCACGCTCTGGCTCTGGGACCTTAGTAATATGTGATAGATTTTGAAATTTTACGACTTTGTAGTTTGTAATGCATGACTTTGGCGACTTTGGTGAGTTTGTATTGTGTAATGCGTGACTTTGTATTGTATAATGGGTGTCTTTGTCTTTGGTAACTTTGTATTATTTAATGGTGTCTTTGGTGACTTTGTACTGTGTCATGGATACTTTGAGGATTTTGTACTGTGTAATGAGTGACTTTGTACTGTTGTAGATGTCTTTGTATTGTGGAAAGGGTTGACTTTGTACTGTTATGGGTGACTTTGCATATTGTTATGGGTTACTGTGTGCCCTATACTGTGTTATGGGTGACTGTGTACTGTGTTGTAGAGTGACTTTGCACTGTGTTACATAGTGTTTTTGTAGTGTTTTGCAGCGCGAATAAAAATTCCATAAAAACATTCATTATTGACTAACTGAAAGAGGAAAAAATGGAAATTATCTTAATAATAAATCTATAAAATAATAAACGCTGATTTTTTAAAAAAAAATTGATAAAAATTCTTGAGAATTCCTCTGGCTTCTCAGTTTTTTTTCCATTTAACGTCATGTGTTGAGAGATGAATAAAATGGCTCTTAGACGCAATTACTGACAAGTTTATTAAATGTCTGAGCCACATTAGCCTTTACCTGAAGCTGAAGACTCTGGTAATTAAGCTGTTAAGGCTGACGAAAGGCGAGTATTAAAGTGATGCTGGCGAGGGCTAATTGAAGTGTTTATCTCGGGAAGAAAGTTATGCTATCTTATAGCACCGTGTTGAGTGAGGGTGATGATGATAGCATCTTATCACCCCCACGGAGCATGTGCACACACACACACACACACACACCACACACACACACACACACACACACACACACACACACACACACACACACACAAAACACACCACACAACACACACATATATATATATATATATTTATATATATATAATTATATATATATTATATATGAGTGATAACTAATTTATATCTCTCATTTTTCCTCAGTTCACATGACCGAAAGATAAAAATAATCGAATTACTTTCCAGTTAAGAAGCAAAAGTAATTCACATCTAATTACAGAGTTATTATCTGTTTAAACTAGCGAGGGAAAGTAATTAAAGATTATCATCGCTTTTCTCAATGCTTCCTCGTTCTCTAAGGCTGGCTTTGAACCTCGACTGAAGAGCCTTGATACCAGGGTTGTATGATGCAGCACCGTGTTGTATTGTGTCGTGGCTTAACTGGTGTATTTGGTGAAGGTGTTGAATTATGGGTTCGACTGTATGATGCATCAGAATGATTTATTGTGTTAAGGGATAAATTGCATATTGTATCAGTGTTCAGTACTATATAAAGTGTTTGATGTATCGGAATGAATTGTGGGACGAGTTAAATTGTATGTAGCTTCTACTGTATTCAACTACTACTACTACTACTACTACTACTACTACTACTACTACTACTACTGCTACTACTACTACTCCACCTCTTTTACTACTATTATTGTTACTATTACTGCTGCTACTGCCACTACTATTGCTACTATTACTACTAATTACCATTGCTATTACTACTACAGTTATTATTATTCTGTTGTTACTTTTACTACTACTACTATTACTGCTGTTACTACTACTATTACCACCACCACCACCTCTACTACTACTACTATTACTGTTGATGTTACTACTCCTAATACCACTACTATTGCTACTTTTATCACTACTACTACTACTGCTGCAACTATCACCACCACCACCACAACTACTACTGCTACTGCTACTACTACTGCCACTACTACTACTACTGCTACTACTACTATCACCACCATCACTACTACCACTATTACTGCTACCAGCACTACAACTACCACGACAATTACTGTTACTACTACCACTACCACCACTATTTTTACACCAGGTATTACTATCACTACTATCTACGTACCGAATTTTCCACAATATAAATCTATATTTTATTTTCGCGTGTTATTTGCACGTTACAAGCTTTGTTTCCAGCTAAAAGGAAAAGTTTGGAAATTTTTGCATGGATTTGAGGGGGAAGGTGAGTGTGTGTTGCAAATGTTTATGCACCTCACTGACGGGCTAAATTTTTCCTCTGCTTTATATCCTTAATGGTTGATAATTAAGGCGGGTGGCCACGGACTCTGCATGTAAAACTGGAGTGTGTGTGTGTGTGTGTGTGTGTGTGTGTGAGTGTGTGTGTGTGTGAAGTTACTCTCTGTGCAGTCAATAATGACACTCAAAGCAAATGTTTGTTAGTGTGCTTTAAGAGTTGCGACAATACTCAGTAACATCGGGGACACAGCCGGATATTGCTTTCAGCTGGTGAACAGCTTTATACACCACTAAATACAACCCGGGTAAAGCCTTCCTGGTTTAATATAAAGCACCTGGGGGACACTGTCGTAGATAGTTCCTCCTTTGGTACATATACTTAAGAATGGAAGAAATCACAAAAAAACCGTGATTGACAATATGAAAAAACAAACAACATTGAAAAAATAGGTTTTTATTTCCTATGTTCACTATGGTTTTTTTTTTATACTTAAGAATACTACGATATTTAGACGATAAGAAGAAATATTAAATGGTTAGTATGAGCAGCTGGGCATTAAATATGTACTAACATAATGAAATATAGTTTTGTCTATTTTGTGTTGACTTATAAATACTTTTTTGGGAGATTTAGACAAGAATATTTACGTTTGGGATAACTACAGAAAAAAGGCTCAGTTGCATGAACTTTGTGATCAAACTAAAATGGCCGTCCTCAGAAATTATTCTCTTTGATGATGGCCACTTTGGTGAGCGAGAGTTTAACAAGAATCTTTTTCAGTATTTCCACTGCCCTGCATATATATATATCATTTTTTTTTTTTTTTTTGACTTTCTCAGGTGAGCCCACTGACGGCCAGGTTGCCCTAGTCATCACCCAAACAACCCGTAGAGAGGATAAGGATAACTGAGGGTCTCCTGTGGACGCTCTCAGAAGAAGGATAAAGGTAACTCTAGGATTTCTCGTGGACGCTGTCGGAGGAAGGATAAAGGTAACTCTAGGGTCTCCCGTGGACGCTGTCAAAAGAACTCCAACACGGCTACTTAC